TGTGTGTGTGTGTGTGTGTGGGAGGGGGGTTTACGTTAGCACGCACAGTCAAGCTTTAAGTGTGTATGTATGTATGAATGAATGGACCTGTTCAAGAAGAAAAAATCCTAATGATTCCAAGAAAAACAACCTTTCATGGCAATTACTTTATCTGGTAGGCCTCTCCAAACATATAGAAAATATACAAAAGCTTAAGAGGATGGACCTCTCGCTGTGGTCTTGTATAGAATAACTGCGGGATAAAGATGTTGTACCAGTCGTCTTTAAGAAACAGGTGTTATAAAAACATCATTTGAAGCTTTTGTTCATTTTTTATTCATAAGAAGTCTGACGTTTTCTTCACAGTCTCCAACAAGAATATGTTGAAGAGTGGTTCTGTTCTATTTTGTATGCCTGCTTATTCCAGTTAGGGTCAGCGGGTTGACCCCTGAAAGGGTTGCCGGTCCATCACAGAACCGCACAGAGACACACAACCATGCACTGTCGAACAGTAGTCGCAGTAGTGTGTGTTATAGCCACGTTTATGTCCTCGTCTCCCGTTTATTTTCGAAATACAAATTCTTGTATAGAATAACTGCAGCATAAAGATTTTGTACCAGTCATCTTTAAGAAACAGGTGCTATAAAAACATCATTTGAAGCTTTTGATCATTTTTTATTCATAAGAAGTCTGACGTTTTTTTCACAGTCTCCAACAAGAATTAGGGTCAGCGTGTTGACCCCTGACAGGTTGCCGGTCCATCACAGAACCGCACAGAGACACACAACCATGCACTGTCGAACAGTAGTCGCAGTAGTGTGTGTTATAGCCACGTTTATCTCGTATCACGTCTCCTCCTTTACGTGAAACAGGAAGTGTTGTCCAGTCGTAAATTACGATTGCCTGCATCCTTCCATTGTGTAACCAGCCACTGGCATCTTGTAGCCATAAAAAATACAGACTCCAAACTGATCTTTCTCCGTTTCTACCCAGAACCAAAGAGAACGGCTTTGAGCGAGACGGCGCCCTGCACCCGGACGTCCACCCCAGCAAACGGCCCTGCACCATAAGCCCCGCCCAGCGCTTCAGCCCCTCCAACGGCCTCTCCTACCAGCCCAACGGCCTGCCGCACCCCGGCCCCCTCCCCCCCCAGCACTACCGGCTGGACGACATGGCCATCGCCCATCACTACCGCGACACCTACAGACACCCCGCCTCCAACCACCGGGAGATCCGGGAGAGGGCCAGGCCCATCGGTGAGAAGTCGGGGTTTTAGAAATACTTCATGTGGAATCCTTGTGCTGTATCTCCTACCGAGTCAGAGACCACTAAAGGGGCAGGTGCTCAAAAAAAAAAAAAAAAGGCACATCTAATCGCATTTTCTGACAGAATATTAACAAAGTCACATAGCTTTCAGAGTTTAATGAACAATGATAAATTACAAAATTGTGAGACATACAATCAAAGCTAAGGAAAATCTCTACATAGAACATAGAACTATGCATATGTAAAATATTTTATTAGTCATTTCTTTCGGCAGGTCTATTTTGCTATAGGAAAGTATCACAATATTCAAACCTGCAATTTAGCAAAATATGTAAATCGGAGCTGGACCACCAGACATATTTTGTCTTTACAGAATGAAACTGTTAAAAATGCACAATGCAACCTTTTAGTGTACTGTAATCTATAAAAAAGAATGTCTGCCTGGTTTTCTGTACTGACAGTGGAGATGAAGAGAAAGGAGGGTCCTATACTTTCCTCCGTTTAAACCGCTACTCTTTGCTAAAGGAGAAATGATACAACGTTCAAAGTTTTCCGTTATCTGACAAGTAACAACCCTACTCCAGTATTTTCACCAAAAATTATGTTTTTTAATTCACAAAAAACTGTTCTGTAATGTGGAACGTTCGCTTTAGCCTTTAGTTCCTAGCCTTTAGTTCCGCAGTTAGCCACTTGTGCGAGAGGCAAGTGTGTCGTTGTGCGTCACCGGCAAAAGGTCAAAGGTAACAAAAATAATTTCAGTACATGTGTCAAAAAATAAAACATAAAAAGGAACAAAAGGGCACATTGGGATCATGGAGCAAGAGGGGCAGGTGCTCAAGCCCCCTTAGCACCCCCCTCTGCACGTGCATGTACCAAGTGTCACATTTGTCTTAAATTAATTTTGATATCAGAAGAATACAAAGACATTTTGATTTCGAGTGAGCTAGTGTCAGAAAAAAAAAAAGAGGGGATAATCACGAGTGTCTTAAAGAGACAGGCAGTCGGAATGAATTTCAGATTTCAGCACCGCAGATGAGCTGTTTAGAACGGGCTGACCTCAATCCCATTGAAAAATATTTGGAGAGCTAAAAATCTGTCGTTGGAAACGGATTCCTGAGAACTGGAAACAGATGGGCCGCATAACGGCGGCAGGCCGGGCCAAAAAGCCTCATCACAACCAGAAACATCTCCAGTCTGGGACCGCTCCCAGAGATCTGCTGCTAGAGAGCAGGGCTGTGATTTATACGCTTCTTTTTAACCAACGGGGGGGTTTGTTTAGGAGCCTATTAGTATTATTCTTGTCTTTGGATTTTGAAGCTTTTAGGATGCTTACTAGAGAACAAACATTCAAAGCTGCTTCTGCTGATAGAACTCAACTCAACTCAACTTTATTTATAAAGCGCTTTCAGTCAGCCAAAGCTAAAATCAAAGCGCCGTACAGGCCATTTGAGCGAATCATAAAACACAATTATCACCTCCGCACAAGACAAACGCAGAGATTAAAAACAGTAAGAGCAAAAAAAGAGGAGGATAGAAGAGGAGAGATGCTTTGTGTGAGCCCTCCATTTTCTGAGGAGACCGAACCGTAATGGAGCCGTAATGAAGATTTGGGCTGAGTTTCTAAATATAGGCCACATTTACCACGTGTCACCCGGTGATGGATGTTTACTGGGCTAAAAGTTCTGTAATTTGCACTCAGGAGAGAGAAATGGCTACTGTAGAGAAAAGGCGGGAGTAAAGTAGGGGAGGAAGAAATGGATGGAGAGAGAACATGAAACATGGCCTAAATGAAAGAGGCTAGAAACGGGGGAACAAGGGAGTGATGGAATAGCATACAGTCATTCCTCCTCTGTGTCGTCTTAACGGTCTCTTTCTTCTCCCTCTCTCCGTTTTGCTTCTTTCCTCATGTCTCTGACCGCAGGCATGCATGCGGGGACCAGGCAGGAGGAGGTCATCGACCACCGGCTGACCGACCGGGAATGGGCTGAGGAGTGGAAGCACCTTGACCATGTAAGAAAAGTAATAACATTTTTTTATTACTATACTCTTATTTCTCTGGAAGTCAAAGATTATAGAAGTCGTTACAGATTCGGAAAGCTTTTTTAATCATGTAAACGCGCTGCAAAAGTGTGGATCACCTCAACTTTTTTTTTGTCTTAGCGTTATAAGACATTTACAACATGTATCCAATGGACCGATTGTATGTTTATGTCCACTTGGGCAGCTTTTCCTAAATTGATCTGCTTTTCCTAACTTGATCTAAGTTCAAACCGCTCGATCCGGCACGTGTCGTGTCAGATTCGTGGTGCTCGTTTCCACCTGCTCTTGCTATGCGGCGATAATTGAATCAGCCGGTGACATAATGCGAACGCAGACATGTTGCCGGAGCGAAGTGATGAAGTCAGACGTTAGCTGGGAAGGTGCGATCTGACAAACCTTTCAACAGTGAAAGCATGCCACTGTTGACGAACCCAGAATCCCACAGCCACTCAATATCACACAACCCTAGCACGGCAGATGTGGGATTTAACCCTATAATGCCGTATGTATCATATTTGATACGTACGATTTCTGAGAAATTTAGCATGTGAGACCTTTTGCATAATTTCATGGTAAAAACTTTGCTCAAAACCTTGTTGTACACAATCAGGTATAGCTAATAACAGTGGGCAGAAGACTATGCACAATCATTTTGACTTAGCAGAAGGTAATAAATGACGAATATTCAGAAATCCTCTGTTTTTTCTCATATGTTTTGTGATGGGTAAAATAAACACTTCAGACAATAGCAAAAATTCTGCCTATTTTCTTTGGATTGGGCTTTAAAGGGTTAATTTAGAATTTCCCTCAAGATCTGTTTCCTGCCCGTACCTTCCAACTTTGCTTTTACTTCCTTCATTTGGCTATTTGAATTGACTAAAAAGCTCACACGCAAACAGCAAATGTCTTGGATGATCCTCTCATCATTAAATATAATATTATAACTATTCATTAAAAATGTATTTTTGGAAATTTTACTGTTGTACCCAAAGCTGGAGTCCTGTTACCAAATAAGTTTGTAGCTGTAGAATCCTCTGAAGAGCTCTACTTTGCCTCAATGAATAAATTGGAAATAATCACAAAAATAATTGCATCAATTGCATCCTGGCTGAATCTTAATGAGCCCGCCCGTCCTTTTTTCTACGCGTCGCCTTTAACGGGGTGTGTGTCTCCTTTTCGCACTCAGCTGCTGAACTGCATCATGGACATGGTGGAGAAGACGCGGCGCTCGCTGACCGTGCTGCGGCGCTGCCAGGAGGCCGACCGCGAGGAGCTCAACTACTGGATCCGCCGGTACAGCGACGCCGAGGAGCTGAAGAAGGGCGC